TTATTTACTTACAAAAATGTAATTTATTTTACTTGAGATAATGTATTTCTATTGACATAAGAACACTCTTACCAGCACAGTAAATTTTCTGATCATCTGGATGGTCCCTTAGAGTCTCACAAGATTCACATGTCCCTGTGTGTTTGTAACACCAATATCCAAGTTTACAGTTACTTTCTGAAATACATGGCTCATCATAAGTTGTCTCTGTTTCTACTACAGAGGGAGTATTCTCAGATAGATAGTCTGTTGACAAGATGTAATTAATTAGTGAGTTTTGTTTAAAATGAGGTACAGGAGGACTGGAAAAAGGAAGCTCATGTTGAAGATGATCGGTACCCTCAATAAGGTTTTCATTTAAATGGGGGGGGGGTTATTGTCTATTAGAGAACATGGCAACTTTGATAAAAAATGTTAAAAACAAAATGGCTTGGCTCATTGAGCGAGCAACTTATGCCATCATGTACTGTCTTAGTTTTCAATAAAATGGTTTATGGCTCTGGATGTCAGTTTCTTTGCATAGAACCCAAACTTTTAGGCCCCATTTTTGTTTTTATAAAGTGAATTTATAAAGCAGAGACGTATAGATTTCAGTGTAATTTTTAACCAATATAAATTACCTTGACATTTCTGCGGTATGCCATCTGCGTTGCTCCATGCTAAACAGCTCTCACATGTACCTATTGGTGTGAAACAAACCTCATCTGCTGAACAATCATCATCGTTCATGCAAGGTCCATCATTATCAGTGTTTATTGATGGTTGTTCATAAGTCACTGTAGGTCTGAAAATGGCATTACGAAGTAAAGATGTATTGGCTGTTTTGGGAATGTCAGCTGCATCCAGTGAGATAATAAACATGCTGAGAACAGCACAAGCACATAGATTCATCTGGAAGGAAAGATAAAAAACGAAAACTGAGTAGAAACCATACAAATTCAAAGTTACTATTATGATCATATTCTGATAGGAGTGAGTTTTTATCTAATCAATATTCCAACAACAACAACAACAACAACAACTCACTAACAAAATTAACAACAATACAAGAACCGTCATTGCAAAAAACATATAAAAAATACAGAATTCAAGATATAACACTGTAATAAGCAAAAGGACAATTAAAAAATAATTTTGAAGAAGCTGTTGATGTCCTTTAAGGAAACTGTTTTTAATCAATAATTTATTAATAGACCACCATTTCGAAACGTGCAGCTATTTGAGTGGGTCGCAGTCCCTCCGACAGACTTTCAGTGGGTGTGTCAAAATAAACACAGTCCGCACGGCGATGTTTTACACTGGTTAAACCATGTGACAAAACACCATAAAGAAAGGCATGTAGCGCATATTTACAGAATACAATGGGAAATCAGTGCAGTTCAACAATTGGATAGCGACATTTTTATTAAATCAACAAAAATAAAACAAAACAAAAACAGGTGTCGTACATCACATACTCAAAGATATTCAGAAGCAATGTAGTCGAGCATTATTTTGTACATGGTTTATGTTGATTACTCTAAATGTATCTAATTTATTGTTTCAGTAAATAACAAAACAAAAGTTGTACGATGTTGAACTGTCAAGCTAAATCGATTTCCGCTTTAAATATGAATGTCAACTAAACAATTTAGTGTACTTACAATCGTCGCCAGTGTGGTCGTGTTCATCGTGTACAACATGTCGTACAACTAATGTACAATGATGGTTAGAAATTGCAATAAGCATGGGATGTTTCGTCATCTTCGAAAATTCGAACGTTCTGGAAAGTCTTCACCAAACCGGATGTGGTGAACGACAGTACTTGGGGAATCCCCTTGGTAATGGTGGGTCACCACACGTGGCGCTGTTCAGCGGTAATTTCGACATCAATGCAGTATCCTCTCCATCAAAGGGACTGGGGTACCGGTAGTTAGTGTGTCTGTGTATTACTCGGGTCAATTGGCTGATTTGATTAGGCATAATAATTGATTAATTTGCATAATAAGTACATGTACCCAATTTTTTTTTTTCAAAAAGACTTGGTATACTAGTTCCTGGGAACAATGCATTAGTTTTGGATTGAGCACAATGTGCATGATCATCACATTTCATTGATATTTGCTCTGGGATAATCCACAGATGCGATTAGTTTAATAATGAAAAACATGCATATTGATTATCTTATTATTATTAGCCAATTTCTAATATCTCAAAAAATCAGATTTAACTTGAACTTGTGGTAGAGGTGCTCTGAAATAATTGTTTTCAAGTTCTGCATCTCAAATAGCAGACAAATATTAGTTGTCAAGCATCTTGTTTGAAGGCTGATTAAATTTTATGTCTCCAATACAGAACATGGGAGTTCTTTCTCAGCTTTCTTCGATTTTATGAATATTATGAGTTGAATTATCACACATTTTACACTCTGTATATTTTATATCGGCCTCTTTCAATTGGCGAGGAATGTGAAAAATTAAATGTATTTCTTGATTTCAAATTTTTTGAAATACATACAAAGTATGCACGAAGACAGTACAACGAAAGTATCTATCGACGCGCAGTGGAGATCGATGCAAAGGCATACTGTCTGAGTGCATGCTATGAGGTATCCTCGTAATAACCTACGTCAACAGAATCAGCGAACTTCTTTGTGTGGAGTCCGGTCAAACCCTGGTGGCAGCCATGTTTTTATTATTAGAGGACACTTGCACACGTAATAATTCCATATTTGTAATTACATTTCCTTATATGGTAGGATGAAAATAACCCATAAAATTCCCCTACGCTGTAACTTATGGCGTTACGTTAAAAAAAAAAAAACCCAAAAAATTTCTGAAATTAGTGTAGTGTAGTGGCAGACTTTTATGGAGAGAAATTAGTGAATACACAATCATCAATGATAAATTTCTCAAACAGCCAGGGTAGCCATGCCATGTGTATTTTCTCTGATCACATGTAATATAAGTGACAGTAAACAAAAATATACGACAAAGACTGTAAATATACGTTAATGCTCCCATACTCACATTAAGGGGCAGATCATTTGAAATCAGGGGGGCGCTTGGAAGATGGTTTGTGCATGGAAAAATGCTTTATTTTGATGAGATATTTGTTGTCAAGTAAGTATATACTAGTCCATTTTGACTAAGATTTATTCAAAGTTGATATGTGAACCGTCCAAGCCCTCTCCATGAGTATTAAAGGTCCATCTCCTAATGATGTCGGATACAATGTTTAAAGACCAGGTATGAAACTATATGAAAACAATTTCTTGCCATAGTCCCGAAACGAAGATGACACTACACAAAGGACTCAAAATGTTTTTTTGTTTAATTAGTGAAATAAACAATGTATAGACAAATACACACTAATGCACATGTAGTATTAAAAGCAAATGAAATTGTATGCAACATTTAAAACATATTTCATCTAAATCAAACAATTCTGAATTCTTAAACCCCAAAATTGGCCATTACCCTGTTGGATGGTTATTTAGATACAATTATTAAAAAATTCCATGTTGAATCATTGACAAACCATTGTACCAAATGCAAATACCGGGGTACCAATGAAACTAAATCCATGTGATTAAAATTCGATGTAGATGTATATATATTTTTTTATTGTTAATTTATGACTATTTTATTAAGTTTCTTCAAATATCATACCTCAGTCACCTTGTTGAAAGAATGAAAAAAAAATGGAACCTATACCTGTATCGGATTTTACTCAGATTGAAATTAAACAAGTAAAGGAGTGCCTGAAGACCTTTTTCTGTTCACTATCACAGATCAGACGAGAGTCTGTGTACAAGCATTTAATACTTATTGTTGATATAATTTCGACGACAAGATTTCTATAAACGACACTGTGTTATACCTGGGCTATAAACGAAACACTTTTCCATACCTAGTCGGATATTTACAAAAGCTTTATAAGCAAATATGAAACATTATATCACAAGATTATACATATATATACGAAATAAAGAAATAAACAAAAGGCAAATTACAACAATCCAATGTTCAACCCATGGGACAATTTTAAAGAACACAAAATTGAATTTTAAGAACTGTAAAAAGAAAGTGGTACACTAGAGTATACATAAAGACAAAGATTTAAGATCAACATTTCAAAAACACATAGACAGGAGTTCAATCTCCGTCGATATATTTTTGAAGGAGTTGATAAGGCCAGTTTGTCAGGCACTGATCACAGCGTCAATGCATTATAGCACTTACAAACAAACTGCATGCGTTGAACATTGGATATGCTGTTTAATAATAATCAAACCTTTCTGATCTTGCTATTGTCTCTCGAGGGTTGTTTACTTTTTATAGACCTATATAGCTTGGGTCTGTAACTTTGAAATTGCTATTTTTTTAATTCTACGAAAAGTCCTGAAACAGAAATGTATTTACCCTGAGACTTAAGTACTGAAGTATACGGCAACTTGATATCTTTCAACGGTGGATGTGGTCGCGTTAACAGATTAATAATTTGTTCAATGAAATCCCCAGGGAGGGAGAGTAGGGTATATGATACTTGAGTTGAATTTTAATATCAATATTCCAGTTACCAAAAGTATCCGTGGAATTTAGAAATTAATTTGTAGAATATATTATTTTAATGATAACGCATTTTGTAATTCCCAAATAGAATTGAATTAAAAATGATTTGATTTTGGTGATTGCTTGAAAATTGTTGATACAAGTGGAAATGGCATTCCCAATACATGTACTCTTTGAACAATATATAACCAGTCTGGTGTTGTCATGTCGACCTGACTCCAAAACAAAATCATGTTGTATGAAGCTCACCTATGAAAGATATCACAAGTATCAGCCTATAGTAGTATACAGTCAGCTTGTGATCAGAAAAATTGATTATCTAATAAATTAGAGAGAGCTAGCAGGTTAAAGAATATATATTACTGGTAATGCTTGAAGCAAATCTTTTTCAACTTTGTTGATTTTTATAAAAAATATTGGTGGAAGAACTCAAATCACATAGTCTTATTGTCTAGGACAAATTATAATTTTCTAGTTAAATCATAAAATTTCTAGGAAAATATAATTGAATATAAAATATTTCTGATTAGGAATATTAAAAACAAGTCATTGAAAATGACACAGTCCCCGTTAAGTTCTCTTTGTGCTCGTCATATTAAAGCGGAGGGGTTGTCGCGAGC